ACCTTCTTTAGCTGCTAATTAATATGAATTTGCTCTATTAAATGCTTATTATAGTAGTATTATTTTTGAAAATAATGAAATTAATACATGTAAAAGATTTTTATCTTTTAGATGTGATGATTTGCCACATTTTTAGAGGAAATTTAATGTTCTTAATAAAGAGAATTGCTATTTTTTCAATTAACATACATGCTGAATGGCATATAAAAGTAGGAAACTAGCCAAAAGTCAGTTTTTTATATTATAAAACTTTTATCGCCTAGGTGACTAGGCGCCCCAATGTCGCCTAGAATCGCCTAGACGCCTTGAAAACTATGCTATGGAGGTCAATTTTTGACTTTACTCCCCACCTTTCTGCAACACATAAGATATGATGCCAAATTGGGTCACAAGGTAAAATTCTGGGAAGACACTTGGTGGGATCTTCCTTTGTCCCAAACCTTTCCTAGAATTTAGAACTTGTCCAGCTTCAGAAATAAATCAATTGCTGAACTTGCTACATTGGATGTCTCGGGGTTGAGATGGAATTTAGGTTTGAGGAGAGTTGTGAGGGATCATGAGTTGGATGAGTTAATTTCTTTACATGGAACGTTTCAAGATGTGAGACGACTTCTACCCTTGAAGGGGGGGGGATGAGAGAGTTTGGGTTCCTTCTGTTAATGGCCTTTTCTCTTGCTCCTCCTTTTTCCATTCGCTTTCCTATCCTTTGATAGTAAACCGTTTCCCAGCCAAAGAGATTTGGAGTGGTCCCATCCCCCCTAAGGTTAGGGTTTTCTGTTGGGAGGCAGCTAATTAAATCATTAATATCCATGAAAGACTCTAAAGAAAGTGGAAAAATTGGCTTGTCTCACGTCATGTTTGTATCCTCTGCTTGAAGAATGGGGAGAGCACCAACCACCTCTTGCTTCATTGCCCCTTTGCTTCTCTTGTCTGACAACATTTTTTGTCCTTGGATGGTAGAGCTTGGGTGATCCTGGCTTCTGTAGACCTCTTCAACCCAAGTTGGATGAGGCGTACTACTAGAAGGCAAAAGATTTTGTGGCAATGTATAAGAGGAGCTGTACTTTGGGGTTTGTGTAGTGAGGGGAATGCAAGAATTTTTGAAGAAAACTACAAGACAGTGGAGAAGGTGTGCGAGCTTCTATTGGTAAGGGTGGCTCATTGGGTTTCAGTTTGTGAAGAATTCAGAGGTGTTTCAGTAATGGTAGGTAGTTGCTAGCTTTCAAAGCACGAGAACACTGAGACTAGCTGAGTGGTCCCCACTAGCAGCTGGAAGGCTTAAATTTAACTTTGATGGCTGTTGTTAAATCCAGGGGAATCAGGAGCGGAGCTGGAGGTGTAGTGAGAGATGTGGCTGGTAAGATTCTTCTTAGTTTCTCAGGTCCAATTGGGCATGGAATCTCTCTTAGGGTTGAACTGTTGGTGGTCATTCAAGGGTTAAAGTTGCTTTCATTAAAAGGGTGGAAAGAAGTGGATGCTGAAGGAGATTGCCAAATAGTTATCTCTTGGCTGAAGAACAGAGAAGAAATTCCTTGGAGAATGAGGCCTATGGTAAGACAGGCACTCTTCCTAGGGGATCCCTTGAACATCTTATTCATCTGGATACCTAGAAGTGCCAATTCGATGGCTGGCACATTGACTAGAGCGGGAGTGTTAAAGGATCATTGTCCAGGGCCGGGCTGTAATTTGTGACTTTTTCAGTTCCTTAATGAATTAACCTTACTTGTAATTTATCAAAAAACAAACAATAAAAAAAAAAAAATCCTTGGTTTGGGAAGGAGAAACATGCTTATCCCCTTAACAGAATTACATAGCCCATACTGGACATTTTGACCATTGATCAATACAGTAGCTTGAGAATGAAGTGATAGAAGAGTGCCCCCCCCCCTCTTTTCAAAAAGTTCTCTTCTCTGTGCTATGATTTTCTACCATCTTATCAGAATTTCCATTATCGATACTTTACCTTTTTTTCTAAAAATAAATAATTTCCATATCCAAATAGGTTTTCCTTTTCATGTAACATTTACTTTTTTTTTTTGCCTCTAATTTTGACCATATTTTTATGCTTCAGAAATACCATTATTCTGGCCTTCGGGGACTTCATTATATAAATAGTCTTCATGGTTCTTTTTGTCTACAGGTTCTAGCAAGCAATATGATATTCCTTGGTGTTGTAATCTTTGTGCCATTTTCATTAGGTCGGATTGTCCTCCATTACATATCTTGGCTCTTCTCAGCAACAAGCCCAGCGTTATCAACAGTCATGCCACTTACAGATTCAACCCTCTCCTTGGCAAATGTTACATTGAAGAATGCATTAACTTCTGTTACGAATTTGTCATCTGAAAGTCATGGTGATGGTCTTCTTGGTCATGTTATGGAAGTGGTCACAGAATCCTTGAATGCAAGCATGAGTGGTATAGATGAAGTCTCAGACAGTATTAGCAAACAAGCTTCAACAGACATATTTAAAGGGGTGGCTATTGGAACATCACGCTTTTCTGACGTTACTACTCTTGCCATTGGATACATGTTTATATTCTCTCTGGTTTTTTTCTACCTTGGCATTGTTGCTTTAATTCGCTACACTAGGGGTGAGCCTTTGACCATGGGGAGGTTCTATGGCATTGCGTCTTTAGCAGAAGCAGTTCCATCCCTTGTCAGACAATTTCTGGCAGCAATGAGACATTTAATGACCATGATTAAGGTTGCTTTCCTTCTGGTGATTGAACTTGGGGTTTTTCCTCTTATGTGTGGGTGGTGGCTGGATGTTTGTACCATAAGGATGCTTGGGAAGACGATATCTCAGAGGGTTGAGTTCTTTTCTGTCTCTCCTTTAGCAAGCTCGTTGGTACATTGGGTTGTAGGAATCGTGTATATGCTACAAATAAGCATTTTTGTCAGCCTTCTTCGAGGGGTATTGTCCTCTAGCTGTTGATCATACTTGCATCTTTTTTGTTATAATGTTGATCAATTTGTGTGCTTTCCTGATCAGCTATTTGATGCCCTGCTTCTGATAGGTTTTGCGTAACGGGGTTCTATACTTTCTAAGGGATCCTGCTGATCCAAATTATAATCCATTTCGTGACCTCATTGATGACCCTGTGCACAAGCATGCTCGTCGGGTTCTATTGTCTGTTGCTGTATATGGGAGCTTGATTGTGATGCTGGTGTTTTTACCAGTCAAACTTGCCATGCGCTTAGCACCTTCCATGTTCCCATTAGATATTTCGTAAGTTTGGTGCCATCTCTTAATGGTGACTAAAGTTTGCTTATCCAGTGCTCTGTTATTTTAATATCTTTTGCATACCTCATGCTCTTCTGATCTTGGAGGCTATATCTGTGTATTGCAGTGTATCTGATCCATTTACTGAGATTCCTGCAGACATGCTGCTGTTTCAAATCTGTATACCATTTGCTATTGAACATTTTAGACTACGAGCAACAATCAAATCACTTCTCCGGCAATGGTTTACTGTAGCTGGCTGGGCACTGGGATTGACCGACTTCTTGCTGCCTAGACCTGATGATAATGGTGGACAGGAAAATGGAAATGCTGAACCGATAAGGCAGGACAGACTACGTGATGTACACCGAGGTGTAGCTCTGCAGCAAGATCGGCCCTTGGTAGCACTTGCTGAAGATTCAAACAGAGGCATTCATATGCCAGGAAACTCCAATATTGCTGAAGAGTATGATGGTGATGAGCAAGCTGATTCTGAGTAAGTCTTTTTATGCTTATGTCTATAGCTATATGTTATAGTTGATCAACATTCAACATTTGAAATTACACTTTAGTTGATTAACATTGGACATTTAAAATTACATCATGGGCATTTTATAGATCTCTGTCCACATGGAGATGTATATAATTGGCATCCTTTTAATTTACTTTGACATGCTGTGGTTTGGTGCAGAAATGAAGGCTTGACTAACAGTTTGGTTTTATACTTATTCTCAAGGCTCAACATATTAAAAGCCTTGGCAGTGAGCATAGATGAGCCAGCAAAGGAAGGAAGTGATTTTTGGATGTATGAATTAGAAGTAGCTTATGCAAACTTTTATTTAGGAAAAAGCCGTAGTTGTCAAGGTGCCCCTAGGTGCCCACCTAGGCATTCTTTAGGTGACTAGGTGCCCTTGGCTGGGTGCCTTGCCTAAACACCTTATGGCAACTAGGTGCACATCTAGGTGACAAGGTGCCCATGTAGGTAACAACAATGACAAGGTGGGCGCCTTATTATAATTCATATTGCTATATTATTACTAATATGTGTGCTAATGCATTCTATTATATACTATATATCATTTATATGTTGCTTTAAAGTTTTACTATTCAAAATTAAAAGATAAAAGGGTTTTGATAATAGAAAAAGAAAGAAAAATAGAAGTATAAAGAAGTTTCTTTTTTTTTATTATGTTATATCTCTCTCTCTCACACACACATTAAATAAAACAATGGCTCACCTTTGTCTTTTTTCTCTTTTACTTTCTAACTTAAATCTTATCATATAAATGATAGCCTTCATTAGTTGCTAATTTGATATGGAATTTCTCTATTAAATGCTTATTATATTAGTATTATTTTTGAAAGTATTGAAATTAATATATTTGAAAAACTATTGTTTAATTGTTGTATATGTGATGATTTGCTGCCATGTTTTGAGGGGAACTGTAATGTTCTTAATAAAGAGAATTGCTATTCTTTTTCAATTAGTACGCATGCTGAATGGAATAGTTGTCAAGGCGATGCCTTTGATAAATTACAGAGAGGCCCTTGAGTGGGCAGAAAATACAAAAACAGAACATTACAGAGTATGGGCCCAGAATAAGGCCCATAACAAAGAGAAACATAACATAACATGACATGACAGTCTATGGGCCATTCGGCCCATCTCCTCTACAGTACTCTACAGCCATGCACCCAAAGGTTGGGCCCAAGAAAGTAGGACATTTGAATTAATACCTAATGCTGATACATACCTGGGCAAATATGATCACAATAGCAGTCATTCAAACATCTACTAATCAAGAAATATGCCATGCATCGAAAATATGGTCATATCCATAGTGAGTGGTHTGCAACCATGAGACATTACAACCTGCACAGTTGAAAACAGAACATTTAATTTTACTGGAATGCATAATTATCAAAAAAAAATTACTGCAATTCATGCATTATGCACACACAAAGATTTGCATAATCCAAAATAGTAGATTACCACCTTCTTGACTGATGTATAAAACCTATCCACCAGCTCTGGAACTCCAACCATGCCATCCGGAGGTAGCTTGTTTGGGGAGGGGGGCAATAATCACCTTAGGATCATAAAAATGCAGCAAGGTCTTTGTGTTCTGATATGTACTGCTAGTTAAGGTGTCCTTGGAGGCTTGCCTCGCTTAATTGCCAAGCAATTTTGTATACTGTGTTATAAAATACTTTTATATTCTTAACCTTTTCGATTATAATTATAAAATAGACATTATTAAACTAAAATATTCATTTTGTGTGTTTATATACTAATTTCTTTTTATTATTTTCTTATTTGCTAGGGTTTAATCAATACAGGCATTGCTAACTGCTGTATTGAATTCTCAAAGACTTTAAAACCTGAACCAATAAGTAAGGAATAACTTAAAATTTTGTCTAATCAACATATTTTCTTCTTCCGCCTTTTCTTTTTCTTCTTTTCCTATAACAAAAATAGGGGTTCAGCGCCTATATTTTTTGAATTTTCTTTTCTTTCTTCTGTTTCTTCTTGTGAATATGTTGATTTTCTAGATTTAAACATGAAGTTTATACTTTTCTTATGAAAATTATGGAGAATTATTAAAGAAATATGGTTATGGAACCTAGGGAACTACCCTAGGATATATGTTATTTACTTGAAAAAATCCATCGCCTAGCGACTAGGTGACAGGGCGCCCCCCTGTCGCCTGACCTCACCTTGGCACCTTGAAAACTATGCTGAATGGTATGTAAAACTGGGGAACTAGACAAAGTTTGCCTTTTTTCTATGAGATTCCTATTGCCTAGGTGACTGGGTGCCCCACCATTGCCCGGAATTGCCTAGATGTGTTGACAACTATTGGAAAAACCCATTTCATGTGTATTTGTAAGTGGATGGATGGGTAAAGCTAAACTGGTACATAAATTTGTTAATATGTAGAAATCTAAATGATCCATAAATCCTTCTTAATGGCAGCACAGCTGGAACTAAGGACCCTGCATTTCCCCATTTCCACCTTTTGTTCATGGGGTAAATGATGTTTAAGCTTGATAAACCCATCCTATGCTGTAGTTGGGCTAGTTTTAAAAGAGACTGGCAATATAAAATGTGGCCCAATTCCCCATGGCAAATAATGTTCCCACTTGGTAACTTTCTTCCCCAGCTAGAAAATCATGTTTCAAATATCTGATGAAATGCCCAAGATACAGAATATAGCTGGACATGTGGTTTAAGGACAGTATTTTCGGGGCTTACTGAGACTATGATTGGCTTAAGTTAACATGACAATATCAGAAATATGGAAATTGATGAAAACAGATGTTGCATTTTCTGTCATCAGATTCAAGTTTGAAATGACATTTTGTGTCTTGCATATAAAGTACCAGGATGCTTTGCTTAACAATGCCATCTATTCATGGTGATTTGTAAATGTGTTTCCTTTCTCTATTTTGCTTTCTATTGTGGCCTTCATGACTTGGATTTTTGTTAATATAATGAGTGGTATTATTTTTTTGATCTCATTTTTTTTTACCATTGACGAAATACCTAAAAAAAACAACTCTTAGTAGGTACAGTTTTGTACTCCGGATTGTGCTGCTGTTGGTGCTTGCATGGATGACGCTGCTTCTCTTCAACTCAGCCTTGATAGTTGTACCCATTTCACTTGGGCGTGCAATTTTCAATGCTGTTCCTCTTCTCCCGATTACTCACGGCATCAAGTGTAATGGTAACATAGTTACAGATTCTTGTTTTCATTCTCCATTGTTCATGCATGTAGATTGAAGGGAGTTACTGACAGCTTTTCTCCTTAGATCTGTATGCATTCATTATTGGAAGCTATGTCATATGGACTGTTGTAGCTGGAGCCAGGTATTCTATTGAGTATGTTCAAACAAGGAGAGCAGGGATCCTTCTGAAACAAATCTGGAAATGGTGTGGTATAATCCTCAAGAGTTCTGCTTTGTTGTCGATATGGGTATGTCATCTCACCGAGGGAGATTATATGAGTTGATATCTTCAAGTTCTCTTTTCAACATCTTTACTGTTTACTGTTTTGGTTCAGATATTTGTCATTCCGGTATTGATTGGTCTTCTATTTGAGCTTTTGGTGATTGTGCCAATGCGGGTGCCTGTGGATGAAAGCCCGGTTTTCCTCTTGTATCAGGACTGGGCACTAGGACTCATTTTTCTCAAGATCTGGACCAGACTGGTAGGTGCTTTATTTTCAATGTATGGCAAGAGAAATGGCAATTAGCTTGTGTTGTCCAACATGTTTGTTGTTTATTAAAACTGGCATATGCAGCCTGGCTGTAGCCACATTAGGTGTCTGGTGTCCTACCTGGGAGATCTCCTGTGGTTCATATGTACTTATGGATGACTTAGACAAATCTAATCATGTGGATGATTAGAGACTATGACAATAGGAACCCAGACACATTAGAATGAATGTATTTGTCCCATCAACTTGGTTTTTGGAGTGAGATCTTCTAATTGAATCCCCATCTAATGATGGGCCCATCACCCAAAACTTACCCCCACAGCTTTAGTAAAAAAAGACCATGCTATTAACAATATTGATCAGCTTAGGCCATGGTGTCTTAAAGAAGAAATTATTTGAAATTGGATATTTTCTCCTTTTTTTTCCCTTTTGACGGGGGTTGCAGTGCCACTTCTTTTCCTGATTCAATAGTGAATATCTGGCTTCAGTGTTGTTGCATAGGAGATAATTCACAGGGGTGTTCCACTCCACATGTTTGCTTTTGAATGTTGTGTGGGACTTGGAAACATGTATGGTTAGCTGTTGAAAACAATTTAGGTGGTTTATGGGATGCTTATGTAAGCTGGCAAGATTTTTTTTCCATAGAAATGTGATTTATTTTAGTATTAAACACAGGTTATGCTGGATCACATGACACCTCTGGTGGATGAGAGCTGGCGGATAAAGTTTGAGAGGGTGAGAGAGGATGGATTCTCCCGCTTGCAAGGGCTTTGGGTTCTCCGGGAGATTGTAATCCCAATTTTGGTGAAGCTCCTAACAGCCCTATGTGTTCCCTATGTTTTCGCACGGGGGGTCTTTCCTGTACTTGGCTATCCATTAATAGTTAACTCAGCCATCTACCGATTTGCTTGGTTGGGTTGCCTAAGTTTTAGCTTGCTGTGCTTCTGTGCCAAGAGGTTCCATGTGTGGTTCACCAACCTCCACAATTCTATTCGGGACGACCGCTATCTGATTGGCCGAAGACTGCATAACTATGGGGAAGACATAGCAGAGAAGCACAGTGAGGGTGAGATTGTTCCAGAGACACTAGATACAAATTTGCAGGATTCTGGATTAATCCAACGTGAGCAAGAGGCTGATGTAGGTATGAGACTGAGGCGAGCAAATAGGCGCAACATCCAAAATAACAGGCAGGTTGTATAGATAGTTGAGTCGTGTGAGGCGGCAGGAAGATCAAGCGCTTGTCTCACCTTTTATTGTTATGGTTGCTGCATATATACTCTTAAACCTTGGAGGTGATTCGGCATCCCTGTTGTGCATATATATATATATATATATATATATATAAATCTTGATAACTAGCATTGTTGTTAAGAGTTGAGATAACTCCCCATGCTTGTGCAGGGAGAATTATTGAGACATCAAATTTGCACATTTGGATGTGATATTGTGTCTAACCTGGAGGAGAATGGGAATTCTTCTGAATGAGTTTTAGAAAGTAGAGATAATGTAATGGATCATGTTTTCTGATCAATGTGATTGAGCATTTGAACGGTTAAGTCCCTAGAAGATGGAGGTTCTTGTGCAAGTATTTCTAAAGCATCTTTGTTCCAACAAATCAAGGCCTCTTCAAACTGTGTTTTTAGTAATATTGAAACTTAAACCTTCAAAGGAAAAATATCTAAATGTAGGGGCTACTGACCTTAATTGTGATATTGTCCCTGTCTCGTCACCTTATCTACCTCTTCATATGTTATTGAATACTGATTTACTGGATCCTTGCCTTTTGGTTGTGAGCTAATGCATTCGATGATAACTCGCATGCAACGAGATGTATCAGAAAGGAATGAGAATATTTAATTTTTTATTCTGTTTTTTGTTTTTAGCACGAGACAAAGAAAGCTAAATCGTAGTAATGTAGCGGCAATGGAATGGAGATGCTTCATAAGCAGATCAATACACCTAGACCTAGTGATGGTGAAAATAACGGGGCCGGTTCCATGTGGGCCAAGCATTCAGAGTGCCATCTATAATGGCTGCCACTGGTGAGAGAGACTGCATCTGCATCAGCATCCGTAAACGGTGAACTCGTCATCGGAATCGTAGGGCACTTTATTACATGCAGATGCAGTAACAGACTAGCAGGTAGGGAGGCAAGATCAACAAATCCACGTTACCTCCGTCTGTTTTTTGCCCTGGGACCTGGGTGTACCACTACCTGTCTACCACTACGATGATACCTTCCCATCAATCATACTTGTTAATGCTTCTCCCCCAGTCCCAGTCCCCCAAAGCAAAATTATTCTCATACTAGTCAAATCTTGGCGAGCTACTGGCTTGGATGGATGGATCAAAATCAATTAGTCCGGGTTGGAAAAACTGAGGGGAGCCTTCATCCATCATCCATGCTTCCTCCAGTCCCACTCACTCACGCAAGACGCAACAACCCAACCGGCTCTGCGCACCCAAGACTCGATTTTCATCTGTGAACTGTTTGTTACCGAGAGGGCGGTGGGCGGGCGGCCTGGCTTTGCGAGCCCGTTCAATGTGGCCATAAATTAACTACCAACTATACAGCTTTAACGTGTGATTCTTTACTCTTTCCATCTAATTATTGTTGGAGCTTGGAGTGAGATGCAGAAACTTTTCTGCATTGGAAGACTCATACTCAAGTAAAAGTTACGGCAAATGTGAACAAGCGTTCGGCCCTACAGCCCGAACAACCGTGTTAGAGATTTCACCGCTCCTCTGGTCTGGTTTTGGCATAAAATGATGGTAGAGTGGCCATAGGCCCTCATTTAATGATCAACATGTTGGAATATCCAATGGCCATGTGACAAGCGACATATTGACGGAAGATGATTATTTTATGGTTATTTCCATACAATACTCACACACACAATCATTCATTTTAAATTATTACTTATTTATTTATTTTCTATAAAAATAAATTTATTTAATCGTTTATTTAAAAATATATATATTTTTTATGCATGGAGATACCAATATTGTTGGATTATTCTAGATTCAAATTCCAACTCTTATCGGGTCAATGGATATCCATTTGACCCAGTCCAGACTAGGTGACCATGTGGATAGATCTTTGGTCATTACGAGACATTTGTCTCAATCTGAAAAGGCCTTGATTTGGTCTTCCCTCCAAACGTTCAGTTGGTTACGCTCCCTCCTCAAAACAAGGAAGGGAAAGTTGGGGAAAGACCTATATATATGGCTATCACAAAGGTAGCAAAGTGTGCAAAATCATAAATAACTTGAAGGTTAAGCAACCTCCAAATTTCGGCTCCATCCAGATTTGACAGTTTTCTCTTGCATTTTGTTTGAGAGATAGGTGTCTTAATTGTACAGTTACTCTTATTCTCTCTTTGTATGCAAGTTTGATACATTAAGATCTCAGCCGTTCACCTTTGCATCTACTTGGCGCTTCACCGGTATCAGAGCCAAACATGACTGGCACAGTTTTTTAAGTGTAGTCGCGACACATCGGATAACATCCCATCTTTTAAGCTTCAGAAAAGGAAAAGGAGAGAGTTTCCTCCTTTCTCCACCGAAGCACTGTTCGAGGGTTTCATCAGCTCTCCCATTTGTGCATCTGTTCAAGAAGAAGAACCATTTGTGCATCTGTTCGAGGGTTTCTTCACCGAGTTTGTTAGAAAACTCAACTGCGTCAGGCGATTCCTTCAAAAGGCTGTTCGAAATCGATTTCAGAACAGAACCCAGTTCAACTTCAGTTCCAACATTGCTCCAACAACTCCGAGCGAACAGAAGCCAGTTCGAGGGATTTCCTAATCCAGTTTATCCTCCCATCTCCAGTCCAGGCGTAGGCTTCTAACGACGGCGGCTTCACTCCTACAACATCTCTAGGCAACTATGGATCCCCTGTTAAGCTGAGTTTGAAGTTTCTTCTCTGGCCGGTTTGAATGTTATAAGCATACAGCTTGACCTCTTCATCGATTGGGGTTGCTGGTTTGAGAGTTACACATCAAAATTTGTTTTTCCTGGACCGAGTGAACCCTAAATAAATTTAGGGCTTTTGACACCTTTACAAAATAGGATTAACCACATAAGGCCGATTCGATCAGAAAACCGAACCCAAGCATCTCAAATCAGGTATTAGAGTTTTATTTATTTGTTTCTCCTCTTCCATTTTTTTTGTTCGGTTTTGCAAGCACTCCTACATCTTATTTACTGTCATTTTTTTTGAGGATAACCTTTTTTTTTCCCTAAGGCTCCAAAGCACTTAGAAGTATCATTGCCGAATGCGCAAATTGCTGCTGAATCAAAAGAAGCAGTGGGAGCATCGGAAATTCAGAACTTGTTGATAACGCTGATAGGCCAAGCCGAATAACACCAGTGACCGGGAGTTCATCAGCAGATTTATTATCTGAACATCAGTCTCGTAAATAAAGCTAAGTGCTCTATTCATTATTTATTTCACTTAGCAATATTCTTGATATTCAAGAACTCAGTAAAACTGAGAAACTGAATGGCACAAATTAGGTTCTCTAGAAACGTAGGATTAGAAGGATACTTGACGAACTAAATGTTGATTATGTTTTAGATAAATCTATTCCTGCTAAACTTGCCGATGATGATTCCTTGACTATAATTCATGAATATTAAAAATGGAAAATTGATAATAGGAAGGCAAGAAATTGTTTGTTAATTTTTATGGAGCCCGACATAAAGGTTGTGTTTGAAGAATACAATAATGCTAAAGATATGTTTAAAGCCATTAAAGAAACATATGGACAAATAACTGAAACCTATGTTCAATTGTTAATTGAAAAATATTATGGCTGTGAAATGAGAGAAGAGGATTATGTAGTAGATCATGCTAGTAAAATGAATGTGATTGCCAAAGAATTGGCAACCACTGGGAACCCTATTCATGAGAAAATTCAGGTATCCACCATTCTTAATAGCCTCCCATCTTCTTGGAATTTTGTAGTAACAATTTTAAACCTATCTGGAAGAGAAATTAACATAAAAAACTTACCTACCTTGTTAGGATGAGAGGCTAAGAGGAAGAGGAAGAAATCCCAACCTTCATCCTTAATGGTTACTCCCAAACCAACTAAAACTTCCCAAATGGCTGAAAAGTCTAAGGGCAAGTTTTTCAAAAAATAATAATGGGAAGAAATTTAAATTCTCAAAAGGATTCAAGAAGAGTAAGAGTAAGCATTGCTTTAATTGTGGAAAACAAGGCTATACAAAATATAATTGCCTTGAATGCAAGAAGAATAATTCAAATAATGAAAAAAGAAAAACTAAAGAGAAAGACGTAATCTGTGTAGTATCTGAATCCTATTTTACGGATTCTGATTTTTCTGATTGGTGCATAGATTCTGGCTCCTCTAAGCATATTTGCCAAACTAAAGAGATGTTCTTGGAACTGAAGGAAATGAAGATAGGAGAACACAATTTTTATGGGAAACAACACCTACACTAATGTACTTGGAACCGGAAAAGTGAAGATCCCCATAAATCTGAACACAAATTCAATCCTTAATGATGTATTGTATGCACATAATTTTAGGAGAAATTTATTGTTTGTACCTTTGTTAGATGAGAAGGGTTTTGATATACGTTTCAGGGGAGGAAAAGTGACCATAGGAAAGCATGGTAGAGTTTTAATGTTTGGGAATAAGTCTGTACCTCTTTCTAGTTATGATTGTACTTATCATGTGAATGAAAGTGCGTACATATGGCACGTGAGATTTTGTCACAAATAAAGATAAAATGATGAAAATGAGCACCAATGGCTTAATTCCCAAAATAGAAATGAATTTCAATTATTGTGAACCATGCCTTGGTGGAAAAATGACTAGGCTCCCTTTTAAGAAAGGAAAGAAATCAGATGAATTATTGACTATAATACACTCTGATGTTTGTGGCCCTTCGAACGTAAAAACACATAGGGGTATGGAATATTTTGTAACTTTTATAGATGATTTCTCTAGATTTGGTTTTGTATATATGATTAAAAGAAAAATCAGAAGTGTTAGAGAAATTTAAAGAATATAAAACACTTGTAGAAAACCAATTGGGTAAAAAAATAAAAACTCTTAGGAGTAATAGAGGCGTAGAATATATCTCTAACCTATTTAGTGACTTTTGTACACAAAATGGAATCATACACCAATTAACCATGTCCATGCCACAATAGAATGGAGTGGCTGAACGGAGAAATAGGATTTTGTTGGATATGGTAAGATCAATGTTATCTCACTTAAATCTAGGAGCACACTTTTAGGGAAAAGCTTTAGGTACTGTTGTATATATTCTAAATAAGGTTCCAACTAAAGTTAATAGCTTAACATCCCATGAAATGTGGACTTGTAGAAAACTAGACCTGACTGACATAAAAATTTGGGGGGCTAGTGCTTATGTAAGAGTGCCAAATCAGTAAAGAAGAAAGATAACAAAGAGTCTAAGGTGTACCTTTATAGGGTATAGTGATAATAGCAAAAGGTATAGATTTGTTAATCATAAATCTGATGGAACAGTTGAATTAATAGAAAGCAGGGATGCTGTTTTTCTAGAAGATCAAATTGAGGATAATAAACAAGTTTCACTTAATAATGACACCTTAGGTAGAATTCAAAGAGAAAGATTCATTTCATCAAGATTAAAAGATTATTATACTTACTTGAATGAAGAGTCTCTTGATGATCCAATTGACTTTGAAGATGCTATGGATGCACTTGATAAAGAAAAGTGGTGTGAAGCCATAGAAGAAGAGTTAGATTCAATAAATAAAAATCAGGTTTGGGAATTAGTTGATTTACCCAAGAATAGGAAACCTATAAACTCAATACTGATGGATCTATAGAAAAATATAAGGCAAGATTAGTAGTAAAAAGGTACACCCAAGTAGAAGAGATTGATTATGATGAGACTTACTCTCCAGTTGTCAAGTTTACCTCTATTAGAATCCTAATGCCTTTAGTTGTCTTTTTGGACTTAGAGTTGTGCCAATTAGATATTAAAACTACTTTCCTCAATGGAAAGCTGAATGAAGAAATTTACATGACTCAACCCAAAGGTTATGTATTAGAGGGACAAGAAAATAAAGTGTATAAATTAAAGAAATCATTGTATGGTTTAAAATAGTTCTCTAGGATGTGGTACTATACCTTCCATGAAGCAATCTCTAAACTTGGATTTATACCTAATCCGTTTGATCATTGTGTTTACTCTTTGAATAGTGTGAGCAATTTTATTGTTCTTTCATTATATGTAGATGATATTCTTATTACTGGAAATGATGTGTTTATGATTAATGAAATTAAAGATTGGTTAAAAACCAATTTTGAAATGAAAGACATGGGTGATGTAAGTTATGTACTTGGAATTAAAATAGAAAGAGATAGGAACACTAGAATCTTAACTCTTTCACAAGAGCATTATTTGGAGAAAATTCTAAGGAAATTTAATATGAAATATTGTAATGGAGTTGAAATTCCAATTTGTAAATGAACCAAATTAAGTAGGGATATGACTCCCACTAATGATGAAGAGATAGAGAAAATGAAGCATAGACCCTATGCTCTAGCTATTGGTAGCTTAATGTATGCCATGCTTTGCACAAGACTAGATATCTCAAAGCATAGACCATATGCTTTGCACAAGACTAGTTAACAAAATACTTCAAATTAACCTATCATGCAAATGATTTAGAGTTACGGGGTTATTGTGGTGCAGATTTTGCAGGTGATTCGGATGATAGAAAATCCACAACCGGGTACTTATTCCTCTTAGGAGGAGGTGCTGTCTCATGGACAAGCAAGAAACAAAGTTGTGTAGCTAAATTCACCATGGAAGCTGAGTTTATCTCTTGTAGCTCCGCGGCATCTGAAACAATTTGGATTAGGAGATTCTTAGAAGAACTCTGAATTCCTGATGTGCCAATAGGAGTTGTGAAGATCTTTAATGACAACCAAGCTACTATTAAGACAATTAAAAATGGTGATATCGGCCCTAAAGGAAAACACATAGATCTCCATTACTGGTATCTATATGATATCTACCAACGGAATGAGATCCTGGTAGAATATGTACCTACAAAAGATATGATTGTCGACCCTGACTAAACCCATTGCAATTACAAATTATGTAAGGCACGTTAAAGCAATGTGATTGATTGGCACTTATTCATCTCGAGCCTAACTAGCCAAGTGGGAGATGATAATAGAGTGGCCATAGGCCCTCATTTAATCATCAACATGTTGGAATATCCAATGGCCATGTGACAAGCCACATGTTGATGGAAGATGATTATTTTATGGTTATCTCCATGCAACACTCTCTCACACACAATCATTCATTTTAAATTATTACTTATTTATTTATTTTTTATAAAAACAAATTTATTTGATTGTTTATTTGAAAATATTTTTTTTATGCATGGAGATACCAATATTGTTGGATTATTTTGGATCCAAATTCTAGTTCTTATTGGGTCAATGGATATCCATTTGACCCAGTCTAGACTGGATGACCATGTGGATAGATCCTTGGTCATTATGAGACATTTGTCTCAATCTGGAGAGGCCTTGATTTGGTCTTCCCTCCAAACGTTCAAGTCGGTTACGTTCCCTCCTCAAAACAAGGAAGGGAACGTTGGGAAGAGCCCTATATATATGGCTATCACAAAGGTAGCAAAATGTGCAAAATCAATGATAACTTGGAAGGTCAAGCAACCTCCAAATTTCGGCTCCATCCAGATTTGACAGTTCTCTCTTGCATTTTGCTTGAGAGATAGGTGTCTCAGATCTTGTATTGTGCAGCTACTCTTATTCTCTCTTTGTATGCAGGTTTGGTACATCAAGATCTCAGCTGTTCACCTCTGTATCTACTCGGTGTTTCAAATTAAAACCCAGCCATAAATTCTTGAATCGAAATTGTGAAATTTATGTTATTTCTTTGATTGTTTTTAAAACAAAAATAAATTTTGATTGGTCAAAGCTCTCAGTATCATATAGATTTACCCTTATATGAATTATGGAGCATGATATTAAAAATCAGAGGAAAACATGTTTTTTAAATCAGAAATTGAAAAACATGTTTTATTTTGATGGTTTTGATTTGTTTTTGTAACTTTGAGACAACTCAAATCGGAGAACACCTCCTAAGGTTATCAAGGAACAACAGATTTAAAGCTTTATAAACATGTAGCCCTACGTATCAAGTAAGAGAGAGAGAGAGAGAGAGAGAGAGAGGAATACAAGTCTATATCAGAACGCTTTCAAGTGATAACCCTGCCGTGTTGATCACTGTATGGCTCAATAGTAGAAAAGATCTGCAACTTTGTTTGTTTTTGGGTGACAATCAAGAGATGCTTTTGCAATTTTTCTTTCTTAAGTGATAACACAATCTTTCATTGAATTTCTTGTACTGGTGGAGTTAATTGAGCACGGATCTCTTGCTGAAGATTTGGCAGCAAATTAAGCAGGGTGCTGAAGCACAGCTGGATCTTGGATGAGGAAGCATCTTTGAGGGAAGTTGGGCCAATTTCTAAACCTGGTAAAACTCCAATAGAATTCAATTTGAAAAATTTAAGTCACTAGACTGAAATGGGTTCGTGAAACCAACACATAACAGGCCTTACTTGTCATTGACTTCTGAGACTCGACCTGAGTTTGTCAACCGAATGCTAGTACTCTTGTAACAAAAGGAACAGAAGTTGGTAGTTCTGTGTGCTGCTCATTTAGTAAAGTGGTGTTCGGTAAATCTGAAAAGCCAAAAAATTTCTAAAAAAAGCTATAAATACATTCAGTGGAAAATTTAATTTTCTGCCTTTCTCGACATCCGAGTATATTAGAGTTTTTTGGTACTTTGACTGTTGTGATTTCTGAAGAAGTTTCATTTTACAAATTTACCCCTTAAGACATTATTTATATACAAGTAAATGAAAATGATTAAAGTAATATGATATTATAAAAATATTATAAGTTATAAAAAATATAAAATATGATAAAAATCAATAAATAATATCAATTAAAATAAAAAATAATGTTAGAAAATGATAAAAATAGTAAAAATTATTATAAATATAAAATGTAGAAAAAGGAAATAATAATGGTAATAAAAATTAAATATATAAAAAGATCATTTAATAATAATAAAAAATAACATCAAATACAATAAAGATATTTGTAAATAGTAAAGTAATGTGAAAAATATAAATAATAAAAATTATAAATATAATAGTTACAATTATCATAAATATAATAAATATGTAAAAAGTAAAATAATAATGCTACTAAAAAACTAAAAAAATATAAAAGAGATCGTATTATATTATTAAACATATAAAATGAATAAAAATATAATAAAGAGATTTATAAATATTAAAATAATATAAATAAAGGTAAAATAGTAAAAAATAAAAAACAAAAGGTCGCCTATTGGGTCAAGATTGGACACTGATCAAGATTGCCAGTCACTGATTATATCGAATGGGAAAACAATGGTGCAAAGCCAAAAAAGATTGGAATACAATTTTAAGACGTGGGGGTAGTTTTAGGTTTTTCGAAAATTTAAAGGGGCACAACTGGAATACAGTTTTCGTGCACAACTTTGAACTTCCTCAGGGGTAACTTGGCATTTGAACCATGTAGAGTAGTTTTCAGTAGGGTAAATTTCTTAAACTACTCTTATGGTTTAGCTAATTGACTAAGTGTACCGTTACTGTTTGAAAATTGATTGACACTATCCTTACTGTTTCTGACAATTGACTAACTCTACCCTTACCATTAAGATCCGTTAATATTCCGTCAAAAATCAAATACACGCGAGACCATGTGACATTTAAAATTCTTTTAAAACCCAATATTACCCCTCCCTCGTCCCCTTCCTCTGACCGGCAACACCTTCCTCAGATCGGAGGAGCAAATCTGGATTTTGATGGTTGACGGTGAGAACGATTGAGTTCTTGGCAATATTTGTTTTGGCCCATTTCCATTATCTTCTTTTTATTATTCAAGTCTTTAATCTTCCAATAGCCTCCTCTTCCCCTCTCAGTTTTCTCGTTTTTTTCATCTACAATTGCAACAGTGGTAGTGTTCTCACCGACAACATGAGGACAGGTCTGACTCAGATACAAGAGACAAAAAAGAACTTGATTTGCTTTTTAGCACTTTTCTGGCACTAAATCCATAATTCGTCGGGAGAAAATTTCTTTAGGGGGAGGGGGGAATAGGTGCAAGACGAGTCATCTTCAACAGAGAGCAAACGAGTGTCGAAGACGAGTCATCTTTGGCAGAGGGCAAACAAGTCATCTCTCTCTCTCTCTCTTTCTCTCTCTTTCTCTCTCCCCTCTGTTCTACCATTGCCGCTGCAAGTTGCAACAGCAGATTTGGTACTTCTCCTTCCACCGCTTCCAACACCACCGCTCTGTGCTGTTTTCGGACATTCTCTCTCTCTCTCTCTCCCCTCCTCTTTCACTTCCTCCCTTCTATTGCAGCGGTGGATTTGGTACTTCTCCTTCAACGCTTCCAACACCACCGTTTTGTGCTGTTTTCAGACATTATCTCTCTCTGTCTCTCTCTCTCCTCTTTCTCTCTCCCCTCCTCTTTCACTTCCTCCTCTTTCTCTGCGCACATGCGTATAGTGACGGGTTAAAACCTCATCCGCTGCAGTTTTTTTTTTTTTTTTTTTTAATTAGACGTGCGAAAGTGTGAAAACGTGAATCACTCGTGTATCGGTTCGTATCAGTGCATATCAACCGATACAATACGATACGGTCCAATATTGATGCGTATCGCTCTGATACGGATGATTCAGGGGATACATACCTATTCGTAGCATTTCCCGTATCTCCTATGACCGATACTGATTGGGCGTATTGTATTGATATTTAAATCCTTGACTGACACAAGCCATAGGGTGCAAATCTTCTTACGAGGCTTGAACAACTCTTAACTGTATTTATGCTTCACCTTTTGGGGCAAGAATCATGCAGATCAAGAATGATCTATATCACTTGCAAAAGGGAAACAAATCCATGACTGAGTATTTTCAAAAGGTTAAGTTGCTCAATGATGCCCTTGAAGCAGTGGTACAAGGTTGTGCCCTTGATGATATTATCCTCTATACCACTGGAGGACTAAGTTCAAAATATGACCCACTTGTTACAGCCATCACAACTAAACCAGGTTTCATCTCCATTGAAGAATTTCATGCACTACTCCAATATGAACTCAGGGTGGAACAACAACATTAAGCCACTTTTGACCATCTGTTCTCAGCCAATGCAGCTATGCATAAACTTGGACTGCCCAAATCAAGATCGTTCCCGAACTATGGTCTTGGTGCTCCCACTCCTTCCCACCATGGCAGCTGAGGGGGCAAGGGTTTGTGGTAATGTAGGCAATGGACAACCAGGATCTCAATCAAAAGTTATTGCTAGAGGTTTGTGGTTGCATAGGTCACTCTGCTCTCTCCTATTACCACCTTTTGACCTTTAGTGTGAAGCTTCCACTGGCAACCAACATTCTAATTAGGCTTTGATAGCAGCCAATGTTTACGACACAAATGCAGAATGGTACCCTGACACTGGTGCCACCAATCACCTAATAGCAGATCTGGGCAATCTCTCACTTTGGTCTGAGTAGAATGGCTTTGACAAAATTGCAATGTGTAATGGCATAGGTTTGGCCATCGATCACATAGGAAATTCTACTCTACAAGCACTTAATCGTATTCATCTTTTGAATGATATTCTACATGTTTGAGAGATTACAAAGATCTTGCTTTCTGTTTGTTAATTGTGTGATGATAATAATGTTGTTTTTGAATTTGATGCATTTGGTTTTGTTATGAAGGACAAGGAACGAAGGACCACACTTCTCTCTAGGCCGATTAAGGGCAGCTTATATCACCTCTCTCTTTCTGGTAGCACTTCTAATAAACGACTTGTGGCCATGATGGGAGTTTGGACATTTGTTGATGGTTGGCCCATATGACATGGACATCCTCAATCTCGTACTGTACTCAAGTGATTCTTCAGCAGCACGATCTTCCTGCCAGTCATCGGGGTACCTCTAGTTTTCATTCACCCATGCACATGTGGCATATCTCATAGGCTTCTTCATCCTTTTTCAGCCTTTCACGTTGCAACACCTTTGGATTTAGTGTTCTCTGATTTATGGGGCCCGACC